TGATATAATTATATAAGCATGGAATATATCTTATTCTAATTATGATGTCATTCTTGTGTATATACATTATGGTGTGATTTACTGTGGTGTATTCATATCTGCAGATAGGAAAATTATGTCAGATTCATTCCACTGTCTTTCCTTTTCCTTCTCTTCTCTTCATTCCCCTTTGTCTAATCTACTGAATTTCTCTTCTCCCTCTGCCTTATTGTGGGTTAGCTTCCACATATCAGAGAAAACATTCAACCTTTGGCTTTATGGGACTGACTTATTTCATTCAGAAGATAGTCTCCAGATCCATCCATTTAATGGCAAATGTAATAAAAGCATTCTTCTCGATGGCTGAGTAATAAATATTTCATTGTGTATATATACCACACTTTCTTTATCCATTCTTCTGTTTAAGGGTACCTAGGTTGGCTCCATAGCTTACCTATTGTGAATTAAGCTATAAACATTGATGTGGCTGCATCATTGTAATATGCTGATTTTAAATCCTTTGGATATATACTGAGGAGTGGGATAGGTTGGTCAAATGGTGGTTCCATTCCTTTTTTTTTTTTTTTTTTTTTAGGAATCTCTATACTGCTTTTCAGAATGGTTGCACAAAATTGCAGTCCCACTAGCAATGTATGAATGTACCCTTTTCCCCACCTCCTCACCAACATTTATTTTTAATTGTCTTTCTTGACAGTTGCCATCATGACTGGAGTGAGATGAAATCTCTGTAGTTTTAATTTGCATTTCTCTAATTGCTAGAGATGTTGAACATTTTTCATACATTTGTTGACCATTCATATTTCTCTTTTGAGAAGTATCTTTAGACCCTTATACTGTGCTAAATGCCTATGCTTCACTGTGCTCCCATACCTCTCAAACATACTTTTCTTACTTTTATCTGAGATTGAAATCCTTTGTTCATTTATCTGTTTCTCACATTGGTCTTGTTTAATTCATTTCGTACTTCTAACATGTAGCATGATGCTTGGTGCCACATAGATACTCACTTTTTGTTGAACAGATTGTTCAAATTCCACACATCATGCTCATTTCTGTCTCTTCCATCTTTGATGTTGTTTCATCCCCTGGTAAGCTTTCCTTACAATTCAAATCCTTCCTGTACTCTGTGATCCATCACAACTTCCCTTACTGCTATAGCTCTTGCTATTATACTTTTTATATTATAGTCTATTGTTCATTGGCAATTGCATAAATTATAGCCCCACAACTGACTCACTCTCCTTGAGACAAGGGGTTATATTTTATTCTGCAATATACTTCTTAGTGCTTTATATGGTAATGAGTTTTTCTCAATTTATATTTGGTAATTGCTTATTTTAGGCAGTAACATGTAGAGGGATAAACATAGATTTAGAGATGTGTTTGAAGCCACTTGTGCATTTGCACCTCAAATTTGTTGGGTAAAAAGTAAAAATAATGTAACTTCATAGGATTGAACAAAGGTGAAGTGAAATAATGTGTAAGTGTGCGTGTGCATGTGTGTATGAGTATGTGTGTAGAGAGAGAGAATAGATTCCTCTGTGTATATATAGATATGTGTATGTATGTGTGTGTACGTATATCCCATCACAGAATAGGTTTAAATATTAATTTTTTTAAAAAGTTTTGTTTTCTATCATAATTCTAAGACAAATAATTTGGATGTTTTTTGTTTTTCTTCATAAGTTCCAAATTAAGCTGCTTTTTATTTTTTTACTTTCATGTAACTTTCAATTGCTGCCCCCGCCATTTAATATATTAGACCAGAGGTTCTCATCCTTGACTACACATTAGAATTATTTGAGAGGCTTTTAGATATCCCAATGCTCATATCATTCCACTGGTCAATTAAATTACCATCCCTGGATCCTACACATTGTGTTTTGTTTTGTTTTTTAAAATTCATTGAGTGGTTCCAACGTGAAGCCAAATTGGAAACTACAATGTTAGATTATAAAGACATACCCTACCCAATTCATGTTTTAAAAATAAAGACCTTTATTCAAGGAGTTCTGAGATAGGTCTGTGATTAGGAGAAGATTGGACATCCAAGTACTGAGTTGTCGAAGATTCTGAAAATTCCAAGATGCAAAGAAGCCTCAGTTTCTGGATAAACTCAGAAACAAAGGATCCTAGCAGGGGCAAGTACAGCAAATCTGAATGGGGCGAAGGAGTAGTTTCTAAGATAATGGAGAGTGTAAGAAATAATGAAGTTTTATTATAGGATTAGACCAGGAGTTCTGATCTTTAGATCAATGAATAGGTTTCCTGTCTTCACAGAAAGTGTTTACACATTTTTTTAACATTTATTTTTTAGTTGTAGATGGGAACAATGCCTTTATTTTATTTATTTATTTTTATGTGGTACTGAGGATCCAATTCAGGGCCTTGCACATGCTAGGCAAGTGCTCTACTGCTGAGCCACAATCCCAGCCCTGTTTACACAGTTTTTATACATTATTTTCTGAGATGTCTACAGATGAGAAGAAGAAAAAAACATCATTCTGTGAAAAAGCCAAGAGCTAAAGTAATAGTAATCACACCACAGTACTAGAACTGCCTCTGGATATATGATCGGCAGCTCTTCTGAAGTCCTTTGTTGTCTCTATTAGACTATGTCGTAATTGTGGAGAAACAAAGGAGGAATTAAAGATAAAACTACATACTGTGTATTTTATAATTATAAGCACTAAATAAGTGCACAAATGCTCTGATATATAATCTGAGTTTTTAATCACAATAAAGATCATTGGCTCAATCTAGGGAAGGTGCTCAACAATAGCTGAAAGTACAATCATCTGAAAAGCTTTCACAAAGTAAGGAAGCTTACTTTAATTGATCTTACGTGGAGCTGTATCATGAATATTTCCCCCAAACAATTTTAATATAGCCAGCATTGAGGACAACTTATCTAGAGGAAGCCAGGATTCCTTGCATAACTTGAGTGCCTTAAAAAATGCATAGTATTGGCCATATAAATCTGAACCTTAAAATAAGGATAGTAGTAGTAATTTCCTATAAAAGGTTTTTGTAAAGATTCATTTTAGTCCCATGTTTTTCAGGAAGTCCAGAATCTTCAGTTGATCATTATCAAATCAGGGAGCCACTAATCACAAACTTGAAAGGGGTTGAAATTAACCAAGGAACAGGAAAATATTCCCTTGGTATATTTCTCATGAAATATCAGATAATAATAACTAATGATATTCATTAAAAAACAAATTCCCTGTCCCTGCCCCTAAAAGAGTGAATCATGTTCTGCAGGATGATACCCCAGGTGATTCTTATCAGAGAAGTTTAGTAAACATTATAGTTTAAGTTGATATATTGTCATTCTGCTATTTCCTGAAC